GATGTGATAAAAAGTGGTATATAGAAAATGGCCAAAAAGAACATCAAGGAAGAATTCTAGGCATCTCTCCTCTCTTTCAAATTCTTTTCACTCTTATGTATGAATTTCTCAGGGTTCCCATTGGGATCCATATTGTTTCCCCCTTCCTGGAACAATCTTCTAAGCTGATAAAATGCTTTTGGATGTTGAAGAGTTACCAAACCAAAGCCAAAACAGATTAAAATCTCTGATTGGAAAGCCAATGGTTTCTATGTTGCTTTATTCAACTTAAATTGACTGAGTGTCCATTGATCTTTGTAGCTTTCTGCTAGGCACTGTGAGACACACTGAGAAGTGCCTTGCCCTCAAGGAATGTAGAGGTTAGTTGGAGGGATACAAAGTAATACACAACTAAGGGCTGAATGAGTGGAACATATGAGTGCTCCAGGTTGTTCAAAAAATTTATGAATGGGGCTGAAGAAGTGAAAGTAGATTTTAGTAGGCAAATGGAGGGATAAGATTTTCTAGATAAGGCAAATGGCGTTAGTAAGAGCACAAAGGCAGAAATTAATAAACAGGTGGGGCTAATAAATAAACAGGTATGCTGATATTCACCAGTAAAAGAGAAGGATTCATGCTGGGGAGTAAAAAACCAAACCTGTTACCAACAAGTTGATTCTAACTTACGGTGACCCCGTGTGTTACAGAATAGAAGTGCTCCATAGGGTTTTCTTGGTTATAATGTTTATGGAACTAGATTGAGAGGCCTTTCTTCCACGGCGCCGCTGGGTGGGTTTGAACCGCCAACCTTTAGATTAGCAGCCAAGCACAAACTGTTTGTGCCACACAGGAACCTTTGCTGGGAGTTGTTATTGTTGCTGTTAGGTGCAGACTCATAGCGCCCCTATGTACAACCAAACGAAATGCTGTCTGGTCCTGTGCCATCTTCACAATCGTTGCTATGTTTGAGCCTATTGTTACAGCCACTGTGTCAATCCATTTTGTTGAGGATCTTCCTCTTTTTTGTTGACCCTCTACTTTACCAAGCATGATGTCCTTCTCCAGGGACTGGCTCCTGCTGATAACATGTCCAAAGTACATGAGATGAAGTCTTCCCATCCTCGCTTCTGAGAATCATTCTGACTGTACTTCTTCCAAGACAGATTTGTTCGTTCTGGCAGTCCATGGTATATTCAATATTCTTTGCCAACACCATAATTCAAAGGAATCAATTATTCTTCGGTCTTCCTTGTTCACTGTCCAGCTTTCACATGCATATGAAGCTACTGAAAATATTATGGCTTGGGTCAGGTGCACCTTGGTCCTCAAAGTGACATCTTTGCTTTTCAACACTTTAAAGAGATCTTTTGCAGCAGATTTGCCCAATGCAATGCGTCTTTTGAGTTCTTGACTGTTGCTTCCATGGGTGTTGATTGTGGATCCAAGTAAAATGAAATCCTTAACAACTTTAATATTTTCTGGGGAGTAGTGGAAGGTAAGTTAGAGAAAATAGTGATTCAGGTTGCTGGGGACCTCGAATGTCCAGCTGAGTGTGCCTTTAGTCCTGTAGGCAACGGAAGGCAATGGAAGGCTTCTGAGAAAGGGAGGGGTGTGAAGAAAAGTGAATAGGGAGATTAATTTGTTGGTGGAAGGTAGAATGGGTTTGAAGAAGAGAGACTGGTGGCAGTAGGAGGCTATTGAGTTAATTTAAGCACAAGCTGATGAGAGAATCCACCAGGATGGTTGATACGGCAATGCAAGGGGAGGACTGAGTGGGAGAAAGACTGTAGGAGACTAGGTCAGCCTTGATAACCTCAGGGGAGGCTATATTAGGTTTCAAGTCTGGCTGAGTTGGAAAATGTTGATTTCACTGAGAGAAATAAAGAAGAGTTGGCCCAGGATTGGGGGAAGACATGGATACCTGCTACATTCGGGTTGGTGGGAGGATATGTGGGCTGTATGTCTAAAGTCGATAATTGCCACAGCATAAACTGATCAGAGCTGCAATTTGTACACCTCTGCTCCAAGATAGGCTTGGGTGGGGGTTATTAGGTTTTGCCCACTCAGCTTTGTCCCTCGCAGGCAGGAGAGAGCATCTGCTATCAGAGCATTCTCAGTCCTCAAGGGGCCTATGAGCTAATCAAGAAGTATAATTTTTAATACAATTAGCTGAAAGAATAGCAAATGTCAGGTGGTGGTTTGGTAGTATGTCATGGCTGCTAAATTTGATATGCTAAGTAATAGCTTTTATGTATGGCTAAGAGGATTAACACTTACCAAATTAGATTCCTTAGTTTTTGTCCTGCTCTTATATTTTACGGGTATGATAGAGTGGGTTACCTTGGGTAAACCATTTAACCTCTTGGTGTTTTAGCTGGTACAACGTCACTCCCACCTCTAGGCTCTGGGATCCATCCCAGCTATAATGGAGGGAAATTAGAGTTCTATATTAATACTCTGGGGCCTCAACTTAAGTTAGTCATGCTCAGTGTGAAATTAGGTCTCAGTTCTAGGTTTTATTTTAGGTTCCTGCTTTGTTTCTAAGACTTACTCCATCCCCCAGATCCAGTCTTTGGAAATTTGTCTTGTTTCCCTGAGCCCAAGTTCTTACCCCTTAAATTTGCCCAGGACATCAGCACAGAGACCTGATTCTACTTGTTCTCGTCAGTTCCCCTTACCAGTTGAAGTCCAGACCTGGAAGAGAGCACTGAGGTCTTGCTATAAGCAGCATATTTTCCTAATATTGCCTGCCATGATTTCCGAATTTTTGTCTGCTCCTGGATTTCCCAAGGCTGTATTCCGGCTGTCCATTGGTTTACAACGCTCGCATTCTCTGTGTTGAACCAGCCTGCTGCCGGCTGCCTTCCTGGCCTGCTGCCGACTCCATATCCTCCGGATACTGTCTCTGGCTGTACGTCCATCACGCCAGCTGGGTCTGCCTCCAACTCCACAGATGCGTCCAGTTCTAGTTTCTCTTCCTCCCAGTCCACCTCACCCCTATTGCAGTTAATCCTTTTATATTAAACTGCAGCAGCCATTTGCTGGTGTGTGATGTGGTATTGGAATTTTATCCTTGTTTACATCTTTCTTTGTGTTGGAAAAGCTTGGGATCACTTCCAAACCCCGTTCAGTGAGTTTTCCTGTCTCCTTTAGAGTTAAAACTTGACAATACCTTGTGTCTATTACCAAGCCTCAGAGCCACTATTTTAATAGTAAAATTACATTATTTAATCATCATTTTGCTTTTAGACATATCAGTATATTCAAAAGCATGTTTTAGCCAGTGTTCGTTCACCGCTCTCACTTTCCAGGTATCTTACTGGAACTCTACTGCTTTGCAGTTACAAGGAAACAAAATAAGGCAGGGGATGCTGTTCTATAATGGTGGTTCCAAACTTTAAGGTGCATCAGAATCCTCTGAAGGATTTATTAAAACAGATTGCTGGGTACCACCCCCAGAGGTTCTCTGGAGTGGTGCCTGAGTATTTGCAATTCTAACAAATTCTCAGGTGATGATATAGCTGGTTCCGGGACTTCTATTTTAACAACTGGCCACACATTTAAACTATCCACAGGTAACTGGAAGCTGCTGAGCAGCTGTTGACCAACTCACTCTTACCTGAATGGCTAAGGTGAAGAATGCTCAGAGATAAACTTCTCAAGTTTGGTCCTTGCAGTTAGGATAAATGTTGGTTTCAGAGTGCTTCTCAACCACTCATTACTTAGGAGAACTTGAGCAATCGCTTAGCTTTTTGAGCTTTGGTTTCTTCACCTATAAAATAAGGATAGGCTCTACTGGTCACCCTCACTGGAGAGTTGTGAAGGTCAAATGAAATGGGTGTGAAAATGTTTGGAAAATTATAAAGTGGTATAACCCTGGGAGGTATTACTATCATTTTTCATTACTCTTGACTTCTTAAAACGTCACCAGTTTCTTTTGGCTCTCTTGCTTTCTTCATTAATTATAGCCAGTCTAGTATATTTTTATTGCCATAATAAACTCAAATTTCAAGCTTGTTTTTAAAAATTTCATTCAATTGAGATCAGACATTTCTTATAAACTTTACTCACTGCCAAGAACGATTCCCAGTTTTTATAGCTCTAAAAATAGAAGTACAAGACCCTATAGTAACTTGGAGTGGAGTCACAGGTAATCTTTCAATTAGGGCTCTGTTCAGATTGGCCCATTGATAAAGATGGCTAGTAGTTGCAGCACATTAAAAATAATAAACAAAACCAGATACGTTATTCTTCCAAACCACATACAAATGATAAATCTGTCCACCCCGTACTTTTATATCTTTCGTGACTAATATTATTTTGTCTTTGGAAGTAAATTTTCCCAATTCTGGATGTAGCTATTTTTTTCACCAAAGAACCTCTAGCCCATTCCAAGGGCAACACAGTTCTTGCTCCAACTGGGTGTCTTTGTGATTTTTCAAAAGTATCATCAACCACGGAACCCTGGTGGTGCAGTGGTTAAGAGCTCGGCTGCTAGTCAAAAGCTCTGAGTTGGAATCCGCCAGCCGCTCCTTGAAAACCCTATAAGGCAGTTCTTCTCTGTCCTATACGGTCACTATGAGTCGGAATCGACTCGACGGCAACGGGTTGGTTTAGTATTACTAACCATACCCAGTTCTTCAGGGCCTTCAATGAATATCTCAGCTGTTAGACTTAATTATTCCTAGGTCTTTAATAAATATCATAAAACATCATCCGGGATGTTTGTCTGAAGACAAGGTCTGTTGGTTTCTGAGTTAAAAAGACCCAGTTTACAGATTGGTAAATCAACTTGCCAGGCTTGTTTACCAAGAGCGGAATACGGTCTGAGGTCGGATATTTAACTCCTAGAGCGGCTACCCCCGATCACCGGAACCTCCGCAGGCTGGGACCCCCTATCGCGGGATCCTCCAGGCCCGCGTATGCGCGCGCTTCTCCCGGGCGTCGGCAGGAGGCGCCCGCGGCGGCCAAGGCACAGCGCGCACCCGCGGGGAGCCAGCAGAGGGGGCGGAGGGAGAGGAGAGGAGGAGCTGGAGGGGGCGCGGCTTCCGCCTCGTCGCTCCTGGGCGCCGGGCCTCCTCCGCCTGGCTCAGGGCTGGCGGCGAGCGAGGGTCGCGGCAGCGGTGGAGGCAGAGGCGGCGGCGCTGGCGGGCCGCGGGCGGCAGGAGCCTGACTCGGGCTCCGGTGTTAGGAGATAAGATGGCGGCGGCGCCCTGGAGGCCGGTCTCCTCCTCTTCTTCGCTCTCCTCCTCCCGGTTGCTCGCCGCCGCCTCCTCCTCCGTCTCCTCCTCCTCGTTCGCTGCCTCCTCCTCCTGCAGCAGCACTAGCGATCGCCGAAGCGCCGGCCCGCTCTCCCCGAGCTCCGAAGGGGGATAGACGGGGCAGCTGCAGGCTCCAGCGACCGAGGCAGAGCTGGGGCCGGGGCGGGGACGGCGGCGGCGGCGGCGGCGGCGGCGGCGGCGCCGGGTGGGGATGGGGTCGCAGACGCTGCAAATCCTCCGGCAGGGGGTGTGGGCCGCGCTCAGCGGGGGCTGGTACTACGACCCTCACCAGGCCACCTTCGTGAACGCGCTGCACCTCTACCTGTGGCTCTTTCTGCTCGGCCTGCCCTTCACCCTCTACATGGTGAGTGTGGGGGCAGGGAGGAGGGTGGCTTCTTACCCTTCTTGCTGGCAGGGAAGCGCCCCGTTTCCAGAGTCAGGCGGGCCGCTGCGCCCTCTTTCTCTTCCCGGTGCGCACACCCCATCATCCTGCGACCCCTTCGGGAATCGCAGCCCCTAGTCGGTGTCATGCTCCCCTCTCCCTCCTCTTACCCCCCCCAACTCTCCTCCCTCTTTAGGGCTTCCTCTATTTCAGTGATGAACTGAGAAACGAATCAAAAGCAGCCTCCATATCCAGTCCCCGTCCTCCCCTCCCCCCAACCCGCTTACTGAGACATGGTGGTTTCCTAGGCCCTTTTTTAGGGGGTCCTTTACCTGTAACCTCCCCAGCCTTTCTACCCCGGCAGGTAAATCCCAACCGGGGCTCCCTGCCCTTAGTGTTTTGTGGTAGGTGCCGTGCATGTTGCTCTTTAAGGGGGCGCCGCATTCATCCTTGGCACGGTGGCTTATTTGCGCTCAGTTCCTTGGGCGTTTGGGTACCCCTTGGGCACGCCCTTCACCCAAGGCAGTTCTCGCGCCTCCTCCTTTGAGAGAATCCTCCCTCTGCCTCGCCTCTCATCCGCGTGCGGAGCCTTCGGAGCGGGGGAAGGATGTGTGTGGCTCTGTTTGGAATGTATTTGTGGGTCCCTTGGGCTCTTACTCGCTTCTGGGTGGTGGTCGAAAACCTGGCAGTTAACTTTCATGCCTCTAAAAATCATTGTTTGCTTACCGCTGGTTCTTTTCTGTTTAGCTTTATGGTCAGTGGCTGCTGTGTTTCCAGGCCAGCTTGGGGGTGGGGCGGGGGTGATGCGGGGGATCTGGCTGGCATTTCAGCAGATTTGTTTGGGTTGGTTCAAGGCCTTTTACTGGTAGGAAAATGGAAAGTACTGCCTGTTGCTGAATTCAGCTCTATCGGCTTCTTTGAAAGGTCTGTGTTTTTAACCTATATTTTCACTGAAAGTTGTCAATGCTTTTTTTTTTTTTAAAGCACAGCGGGTTAGGGTGGGGCATTAGGGAATTAATGTTGAGGGAGATGATTCTTAGGCTTCAGTTAAATTTTTTAAGTCACCGGAAGGGTAGAAGGGATGGTAGCTGTTTCTTTAGGAGGATTCCTTTGAATATATTGCTGTATTTCTGCTAACTTTGTTGGTCTGGGTTAGAAAGTCGGGAATAACTGTAAGAAGTGCTGAAGTTGATGACACCAAATTCTTTCCTAAGTGATGCGCAGTTTCATTAACTGGGAAAAGTGTCTACTTGGGGGAAGATGTGCTTAATTTCACATCTGCAAATTAGATTTAAACTTTTTTATTAAAATTGTTTCAAAGGGCCTTATTGTTTGAAGTAAAACAGCCAACATTTAAAAACGCTGATGGGTTATGGCTTATTTTTTTAAGGGACTTGTTCAGTCTTGCCCCATTCTGAAAATTTATCGTGAAGTGTTATAATTTTCTATTAATTCTGGCCCAGGGAGTTCTCTTTGCACTTCTGTATCTTCCAGAAGTATGACACCATTAATGAACAGGTTAATTACTTTGGGTGTAAGAATCCTCAGGCTGTCACAGAGCCTTCATAGCAGATTGCTGTTACAGCTAGGAGAATTGTAAATTTAAAACTGAAACCGGTTCTTGAGATGTAAGGATTAGTTGTTGTGTTCCAATATAAGGTTTCTCTGTTAGCACCTGCAGTTAACTGTCATCATGGTTTCCTTTTTCTGTGTAATTAATGAACATTACTAAAGGAAATTTAAAGCAAATAGAAACCAATACATTGAGTTTACTGGCTTCATTTTGGGAGTTTATTCAACTAGCTTCAATTCTAAGATAAATATTTGAGTGGCTGCTATGTACCAGACACTCTGCTAGATTCTAGGAAAATAGAATTGCTTCTCTTTCTCGTCTCAGATAATGATACCTTCACTCTTTCTAAACCTTGGAACTTTCCTTGACTCCTCTCTTTCTCTCCACATACAGTCCATCAGCAAATCCTGGGGATTCTACCTTCAAAACATAACTAGAATCCAGCCACTTGTCATCATCATCACCACCACCACTCCCTTGGTCAAAGCTGTTATCTCTCTTCTGGATTACTGCAGTATTCTAATGAGCCTCACTGCTTTCATTCTTTTCTCTCTGTTCGCTCACTCTTTTCTGAGTGATCCTTTAAAAATGTCAGTCAGGTAATACTGCTCTTTGCTCTCTGCCTGTCCTCCTATGTGTCTCAGTCCACGCTCGCCTTCTTACTGTCCTTCCCACAGCAGCATGTTCCTGCTGCAGGGCCTTTCCATTTACTCTTCACCCTCTCTCTGGATGACTTGTCCCCTCCAGATATCTGTGTGGCTTGCTCTGCTTATTTCAGGTTTTTGCTATATGTAAGGCCTTTCCTGATAACCTGTATAAAAAAGCAGCAACTTCCCTAGTTCCTGTAACAAGTCTTACTCCTCCTATCCTCTTTTTTTTTTTAGTAGCACTTATCACTAGTTGATTCATATTTATTTGTTTAATCTCTCTTATTCTACTAGAAAATAAACTGTAAGAGGACAGGGATTTTATTTTGTTTACTGCTGTATTCTCAGGACCTAGATTAGTGCAAAGCACATAGTAAATACTCAAATAGTAAATGAGTGATTAGAACCTGACATGACACAGCTTCTGCCTTCAAAGAACTTAAAGCCTAACCTGTAGATAATGAACGATTACAAGCATTAGAACTGTTATGAAACGGTAAGTAGAGCATGACACTGAGTTTACAGTCAAGGGATTGATTCTGGTTTAGAGAGGGTCAGCAAAGAGGATTTGTAAACATTTTGGAAAACATTCTGATACTGCAGTATTGAGGAAGATTGTTTGAGGCATATACTTAAAGCAAATGCCAACGTTATCTGTTAAAATAAAATCTCAGACAGCGGTAGATTATTATTTGTATGATCTTCCAGTGATAGCGATAACTAATTATGACTGTTCAGTATGTGTGTATAGATTCTCCTTATCCCAAGCTCTTTGTCCTAGACTGAGGACAGAAGTCATTAGTGACTTGTAGTTTTATGACCTTTGGTGGATAAGAGAGCTGGGATTTACCCACTGCCACTTTTTAAAAAAGAGTTGAAGCCTGTAAAGAGATCATATGTTGAGTCAGGATGAGTCTTAGGATTTTTTTTTTTTTACGGTGGGAGTTTTTTTAACAATATTTTATTGTCTTAGGACTTTTTGTGTAGGATTCAAAAACTTTTGCTTTCTGTTAGTAGCTTTGTGGATACTTTGAAAGGTGAAGTTCTAGAGTTAACTATAGTTTCTCAGAAATCTTATCATAAGACTTTCAAGAAATGAAAATCAAACGTAACTTTCTCTTCTTAGATCTCATTGTCCTTTCTGTTTCCCTTTAGGCACTCACCTCATTTTATCTTGGTGTAATTATTTTTGTACATGACAGGTCACAGATGGTGAGCTTTGTGGGGGTAGGTGGTGTTTTGGTATGGTAGAAAGCAGGCCGGAATTGGTGTTATCTTGATTTTTGAGTCTTGACTCTGTTATTGATCGTGTGTCCTTTGGATAAGACTCCATCTTTCTGAACTTTGATTTACTCACTTGTGAGAAATTTCATGGGTATTTTGTAAGAAAATATTTATGAAAGAGGAATTATGCACCTAGAGTGGCTTTCAGTAAATGTCATTTGAAGGAATGGCTGATGGGAACAGTTTCCTCTATAATGCTGTATGACTGGAGATTAGATAGCTCTGTATTTATTAAGTCAAACTATTATCTCAACATATTGCTAAACGTACTGTTTTCTTTAAAGAGTTATATCCCAAGGTGATGAAATATGACAGTAAAATCTGTTGACATGAGTGGGTCTCAAATTCTAGCAGGTATCAGAATCACCTGAACGTGTGAAAAATGTGCACATGTAATGTACATGCTCATTCTGATTCAGTAGTTCTGGAGTAGGATGGCTCATTAATTAGTATTTTATAAACACTTCAGGTAAGTTTAAGGAAGTTGTTCAATATGCTTCTGTTTCTAACTCCACATATCTTCTTGGTTGTCTCACAGGCATCTCAAAGGTTATCATGTCTACAGCCATTCTTGATTCCCCACCACCACCCCCTACACACAATCAAAATTAAAATCTTTTCTTATCCTGTGTCTTATTTACCTAGTGCTGCCATAACAGAAATACCAGAAATGGGTGACTTTAAAGAACAGAAATTTATTTTATCTCAGTTCTGGAGGCTAAAATTCCATATTGGCGTTTAGGCCATGTCAGTACCTCCTGTGAGCCTGACTCTTCGTTCTGGTGTCTGCCAGTAATCTTGGCTCTCATTTGCTTGTAGATAATTCTTAGATGCTGTTTGGCTTTCCCTGTGTGTGTCTTACTGTCTTTTCTGGTGTTTTTATAATTCAGAAATGATTAGGTTTAGGATCCACTCTACACTGGTATGACTTCAACGGATTTACCAATTATGTTACATCAGACTGCATTATGGAAGGAGATTATATTACATTTGATGTAATGTAATTACATTAGATTACGTATCAGTTGTGTGCAAGGCCAACTGATCTAATCATATGTAACTATTCCATGACAGCAACTAGACTAGTGTTTGACTGAACAGCTGGAGTCTGTAGCCTAACGAAGTTGACACATAAAAGTAACCATCACACCCTGTCTTTGTAATCTCAGTTAATGGTGCCATCTTGTATCTAGTTGCTTAAACTATCCTGCTCCCTGTCATGATGAACAAATCTTTCAGTTCTATTGTCAAAATACCTCAAACTTCCCTTTCCACTTCCTAGTCCATGTCATCTTTTGTCTGCACTCCTACCTTAGCCTCCTTACTGTCCTCCCATTTCTATTCCCTGCCTCTCTACAACTCTTCTCCGTATAGTAAGAGATATAATTGTGTTTATGCGATTTCCCCTTTTTCATATCTTTCAGTGATATTCTTTTGCACTTAGAATAAATCCAAAGCCAGTTCTGCCTTTGTCTACG